TATTTAATAAATTATGTTGGGAAAACTGGCTAGCCATATGTGGAAAGCTGAAACTGGATCCCTTCCTTACATCTTATGCAAAAATTAATTCAAGATGGATTAAAGACTTAAATGTTAGACCTAAAACCATAAAAACCCTAGAAGAAAACCTAGGCAATGCCATTCAAGACATAGGCATGGGCAAGGACTTCATGACTAAAACACCAAAAGCAATGGCAACAAAAGCCAAAATTGACAAATGGGATCTAATTAAACTAAAGAGCTTCTGCACAGCAAAAGAAACTACCATCAGAGTGAACATGCAACCTACAGAATGGGAGAAAATTTTTGCAATCTACTCATCTGACAAAGGGCTAATATCCAGAACCTATAAAGAACTCAATCAAATTTACAAGAAAAAAACAAACAACCCCATCACAAAGTGGGCAAAGGATACGAACAGACACTTCTCAAAAGAAGACATTTATGGCCAACAGACACATGAAAAAGTGCTCATCATCACTTGCCATCAGAGAAATGCAAATCAAAACCACAATAAGACACCATCTCATGCCAGTTAGAATGGTGATCATTAAAAAGTCAGGAAACAACAGGTGCTGGAGAGGATGTGGAGAAATAGGAACACTTTTCCACTGCTGGTGGGATTGTAAACTAGTTCAACCACCGTGGAAGACAGTGTGGCAATTCCTCAAGGATCTAGAACTAGAAATACCATTTGACCCAGCCATCCCATTACTGGGTATATACCCAAAGGATTATAAATCATGCTGCTGTAAAGACACATGCACACGTATGTTTATTGAGGCACTATTCACAATAGCAAAGACTTGAAACCAACCCAAATGTCCATCAATGATAGACTGGATTAAGAAAATGTGGCACATATACACCATGGAATACTATGCAGCCATAAAAAAGGATGAGTTCACGTCCTTTGTAAGGACATGGATGAAGCTGGAAACCATCATTCTGAGTAAACTATCGTAAGGACAGATAACCAAACACCACATGTTCTCACTCATAGGTGGGAATTGAACAATGAGAACACTTGGACACAGGATGGGGAACATCACACACCGGGGCCTGCCATGGGGTAGTGGAAGAGGGGAGGGATAGCATTCGGAGATATACCTAATGTAAATGACGAGTTAATGGATGCAGCATACCAGCATGGCACATGTATACATATGTAACAAACCTGTACATTGCGCACATGTACCCTAGAATTTAAAGTCTAAAAAAAAAAGTCATTGGTTTTCCTGCAAGTGCCTTTCACCCCCCACTTTCCCTATTAAGATGGTATATAAACTGCAAATTCGAATTGCCTCCTTGAAGCATACTTTTCGTGAACTCCTATGTACTACATCAATAAAAATCTGTCCTTTCTTTGCTAATCTGTCTTTTGTCTATTTAGTTTGCAGGCCCCCAGTCACAAACCTAAGAGAGTAGAGGAAAAGTTTTTCCTCCCTGACACAGCCAATTGAATGGGAACAGAAGTGAAGTACAACCCTCCAAGCTTGGCCCATAGAATGTGCCACACACTCCTCTAAATTGTTCCAAACATTCTTAAAGTTGTCCAATAACCGAACTATATATCATTTTTTAAATTTAAAATTAAATGAATAGAAATTAAATTAAAAATTCAGTTCGTGTTTAATTGTCTCAATTTTTCTAGTATTTCTTAAGCATTGCCAAATTGGCCCCAAATGTATGATATTAAATTTTGGTCATTTGCCTAAGTATTCAGATCAGAGAATGTACTAAGGCTTAGAAGAAGTGCTAAATCCTATGGTTCTCGTGTTGTTCATAAATACCGACCAAAAATCAACCATAATTATTGTTCTCTTGATATACAAGTAACTAGAAGAGAAGAATGATGATCATTAAGAGCATGTCACATAACATAGTGAAAGAGTACACACACCGGAAGGTAGAAGAATTGAGCCTCAGTGTTCCCTGTGCCGCCTATCAATTTCCTGACTCAGGGCTCCAAATCCACCCCTCACTGCCCTGCCTAGCCTGCTGGCACAGCTGCATAATGTTAAGCTCTAGCATCAGTAGAAAACATGGGAGGGATACAGGCTGAAGAACAACCTTTTCCTCCTGGTTCCTGGGCTGGTGTGCATGGAACACCAAATGAAGCTCTCCCCTAACAAATGTAAGCAGAATCCTGGTGGGCACCATGGGTGGTCCAGCTAGCTCCCTTTCACTAAGTTCAGTAGCATCCTCCATGGGCAGCTCACAAGGAGTTTTGAAAGTGCCCTAGCTTCAGCAGCAATCCTCCTAACCAGGTGGATTCATGTGAGTTCCATGGGTTCCCCAACTAGCCTCATGGTGACTGCAGCAGCACTCCTTTCAAGGCAGCTTCCCTACAAATTTCATCAGCACCCAGCAGGCAGTTTCCTGTCAGTCTAGGCTTGCTCAGGCAACCCTATGACTTTCTCTGCCATTCAGTGAACTGTAACCATACCTTCTCAAATAAGGTCTGAATCCCATCTTTGGAGAGGGCCCCCCTTTCCAAGTTTGTCTTTCACTGGGTATGCTCTCAGAGCCCTCAAGTATATTCTAAGAATTCTTTCCTATCCCCTTTTAGTGAAGTTCCTATAAATAGTAATTCTTTATATAAAACTTTCTTGTTCAAGTTACTATGTGGTTTCTGTCTCCTGCCTAGACCCTAACTGATACACCTCCTTGTCCAGATGATACTGGGTGAGACAGATCCTTTCTGGAAAAAAGGAATCAAATATTCCCCATCCTTGGAGATCCCTGAAATTAGACTTATAAAGTAGCTTTCTGTCAGTTGATACCTATTAAACAGCGATGTCACCATTTTTCAGGACATTATTAAGACCACTGACTTCTCAGTTTGAGAAAGAAGACATAAAAATGATTACAATTCAGCTTTTACTGATAACCTGTGAGAGTTGAGAAATGTCTTGCTGAAGTAAATGGCAAATGAAACTAATATTATCCCACTCTAGTGAGACAATCATGTTGGCAGCTTTTTTTTTTTTTTTCCATATTTTGCTTTGTTGCATGATATTTTCCTCTAGTGTGGGTCTCCAAAAACCAGGAATAGAGAGTGCATGAGGAATTCCATGGAAGACTAAAGCTGATCTCAGTCTTCTTGTGCTACTGGACACTCAACAAGGCAGGCATATTCAATTATTCACACTACTTTTCCTGTAAGATGAACCTCATTCAGGCTGTAATGTGCCAGTCTCAAAGCCCAGTGCTATGAACACCCTCTGTGAAGGCAACACGGCATTCTCTAGACTTCTGTGGCCTGCCTGGTGCTTGGGCCTCAGGCTAGGGTGGCTCTGCTCTATGGGAATTTCAAACAGAAATTTTACTGGGGTAAAAAACACCACAAAGCATTCAACAAGATGAATAGTTGGAAGCAGAAATCATACTGCTGTCAATCAGGAATCACCAGCTCTGATCCTTTCTGCACAGATGAGACAAAAGAAGAAAATGTGAAAGGAGATGATGGGGCAAAATGAAGTATTTACTAGCACCACCACACCTGGTTTGGGCACTTCAAGGAAAACAGTAAATAAAAGAATCTCGGCCGGGTGCGGTGGCTCAAGCCTGTAATCCCAGCACTTTGGGAGACCGAGACCATTCTGGCGAACACAGTGAAACCCCGTCTCTACTAAAACTACAAAAAACTAGCCGGGCGAGGTGGCGGGCGCCTGTAGTCCCAGCTACTCGGGAGGCTGAGGAGAATGGCGTGAACCCGGGAGGCGGAGCTTGCAGTGAGCTGAGATCGGGCCACTGCACTCCAGCCTGGGCGACAGAGCGAGACTCCGTCTCAAAACAAAAAAAGAAAAGAAAAGAAAAAAAGAATCTCTATTATCAAGGCAATTGAGAAAGAGAAAGATTCAAGTCAGAAAACAGGAGAGCAACTGGATAGCAGACCAAATCCAAACCGATTTTAAATAACACAAACTAACATGAAAAGTATGAAGGCTGTTATATCACAGGTGTTTTATATATCATCTTCATTTTCTGATTTTAATTCATTGGGTTTTAGAACCCTGATTACTGTAGTAATGGGGAGGAAACAAACTTTTTTCTCTACCCTCTTAGGTTCAGTCCTTGGGGCCCTGCAAATTAAACTTAGATCAACAGGAGAGAGTGGTTATTTTATAAATATGGTGGAGGGCCTCACAGAAATAAAATGAAAACTCCAAAAAGGTGGGCAGACCTAGAGGCTCATATATCATTTTGACAAAGAAGAATAAACTTGTGGAGAAATGACAAAACAAAGGAATAGAGTTTTGAGCTTCTGGGAACAGTAAATTGTGGCAAGATAAATATATAAGGAACCTAACAGAAGATAAGGATTGTTTAGTAAAGTTTGTGCAGGGCCATCTTGATGCTGACTTTCCATCTCCTTCAGTGTCATAAAACTTACCTGGTAGAGAGGATTCATGGTAGTCCTCATTTCTCAGAAGTTTCTGCTCTTAATCAGATAAGAGAAGGTCTAAGAAGGCTTCTTTCTGTACCTGTTGATTCTCAATGGCCTGCAGCTCAAAATAATTTTTATGCCAAAGTGGCATATTTAGGGGTAGCATATTCTGATCTCCTTCCACAGCAATAATGATTATAACACCATCTTGAATTTATCTAGAGAGATGTAGACTCTTTAACAAGCACTATCATCATGAATATAATGGCTCTCTCATTCAGAAATAAATGTTATGTGAATGTTTACAGTTTTATAAATGCTAATTTCTAGTCAGGAAAACAAAGCAATTCAAGAATTAGCCACAACAGGAAACTAACATGAGAAATGACAAGTTATTTCCAGATTACATGAAACTATCCCCCAAATATGCAGCAATTGCACTTCACAAAGCATTTTTTTATTCATTCAACAAAAATGTATTCAGCACTACTAAGATCAGGTATTATTCTAGGCACAGTGAATAAAACAGACAAATGACAGCTCTTACAAACTTACATTCACCATTTCATTGGGCTCTTAGTCCTACCTTTTTGAGACAAGTTGCCCAGCATTAACCCGAAAACTGCAATCAGAAACAAAGATAACCTGTTAGTACAGCATGTTGAAGAAGGGGGTGGGGAGTAATACTATGAAACTTGAAATCACATATTCAACATTTTAAATCCTGATTCAACTCCTACATCCATCTATTATTAACTGTGTGATCTTTAGCAAGTAACCAAATTTTTCTCAGCCTCAGTTTCCTGTTCTGTAAAATGGAGATGGCAGCAGCCTAACCCTTCATGTAAGGGTGAACACTAAATCGAAATATGGATACTCTGTGAAGTGCTTTACATTCAAAGGCTTTCTAAGGAATGGAATGGAATAGAATGAAACTGGCTTGGATTGAATTAGACTGACAGGAGTATTATAAAACCAACAGGGAGGAGATTGTGGATGGGAGTAGTCTCTTGCTTGTCTCATGCATTGCCTAAGAATCATTTAGAGTTGATTCAAGAGAATTGCAGTTTGTAAATCACTTGGACAAAATCAAATCCTTGTTTATCCTAATAGTAACAAAGTTTCCACTTATGAAGGGTTTATTAAGTGACTGGCACTTCATGAGTCAGACTTTTTAGGTACACAATTTCATTTAATCATTACAAATCTCAAAGAAGTAGATACTATTACTTAGGGAGCTGAAAGACAGAAACAGTTGTTAGAATTCAAAGCCAAAGGTCTGCTTTGTGGCAGCATTGCATAAAGCCAAACAGCTTGGCCATCCGTGGTGAGTAACCCCTCTTATCCAGACCATCGTGGTGGCCTTTTCAAGAGTTTTTCCAACCCCATCACTACACCTTCCAGCCTATCCTCCACATTGTGGCTACGGTGCTATTTTTAAACATATTTACTCTGCCTTTAATCTGCTTAAAGCCATGTAATACAGTGATTCTCAAATTTAAACATGCACACAGGACACTGTTCAAGTACAGATTCCAATGCTGAAGGTCTGGAGCGAAGCCCGAGTGTCTGCTTTCCTAGAAAACCCCCAGGGATGCAGCTGCTGCTGGTCCTAGAACCACACTCGATGGAACTAGGCTTTCTTAGAGCCTCACCACGTGCAGGGCCAAGTCCAAATGCACTACTCCAACATACGCATAATATTCCTTTTCTTTCCTACTCCCAACTAGCTCCAACAGTTCCACGTCCATGCTTTTAACATACAGAGCTACTTCATGTCCCTAGTAAGTTTTCCTTCTGCCTTGTTGAATAGTATTTCTATGGCTAGATTGCCCTTTCATGACACCCTTCCTCACCCATTCTTGCCTTCCCTTCAGTCCCCTAGAGTTCCTCCCAGTCCCTTAACACCCAACTAAGTAGCCATTTGGATGAAGCCCCTCCCAAGCAGCATTAACTATTCCCTTCTCTGTACCTTGCAGCACTTGACACTGTCTCAGAAGTAGCTGTCTTGTTTGTATGCCTAGATCTTTAAGTGCCTATTTCCATCTCCAGACAGGCACTCCTTGCCTGCCTAATTCATGTTTATATCTGGAGTTTGCTTAACGCCAAACATCAACAATGGTTGTAAAGTTGGCTTGCACTAGGGAAACTTAAACCACTTTCAGAATGCTACTATGGACACCGGAAGGATCTGTATAGGGTGTGGTCTTCCAGAACAGAGTAGGCTGATTGATTGTCTACAGATCTGGAGGTGGGCTGGGCATGGTGACTCATGCCTGTAATCCCTCTGGGATTACAGTGTAAGCACTCTGGGAGGCCAAAGTGGGCAGATCAAGAGTTCAAGACCAGCCTGGCCAATATAGGGAAACCCTGTCTCTACCAAAAATACAAAAATTAGCCGGGTGTGATGGCATGCACCTGTAATCCCAGCTACTCACGAGGCTGAGGCAAGAGAATTGCTTAACCCGGAAGTTGCAGTGAACTAAGATTGTGCCACTGCACTCTAGCCTGGGTGACAGAGAAAGATTCTGTATTGGAAAAAAAAAAAAAAGATCTGGAGGTGGGAGCCGCCAGCACAAAAACGCCAAAAGGTGAATCATCTCTTAATTCTAACCTCGGTTTCCATAAAGGGGTATGTGATGTTTACACCGACAGCTTTTCAGTGGGGGTGGAGGAAAGAAAAGAGGGAGAGAAGGAGGGAGAGGGAACAGGGAGGGGATGGAGAGAACTGAAAGAAACTGCACTTGAAGCATCTGAAAAGAAATCTTGACTTACATTTTGTTTGGGGAGTGATTTATTCCACTCAGCTTGACCAAGGAATGCCAGTGATTCTGAGAGTTTTCAAACCATGTGCCACTTAGTTTTCCATTTCAGAAGTAACCTTACCCTCTCCTCTGTTTCTGTGTTTTTCAAGCACAGTTTATTATTCCAGTCAGGAAGCTTTCTCCAAAATGTGGCTCTGAAAGGCAGGGAGAAGTACTTGCCATGACTCAATGTCAAAGTGACTTTTCTTTCTTTTACTTTTGCTTTTGTTAGATCTTCAGTTACTACGTTCTGTGTGTACCATATAACAAGCCATACAGTGTAGGGGTGGGTTTCTAAGTTAATCATCTCCCCATCAGTCTCCTAATTGCCAGTGGAGATGGATTTAAGATACATTTTAAAGATAGAAAGGGCAGAATTTGCTAATAGATTAGATTAAAGGATGAGGGACAAAGGATAGCTCAGTTTGTTAGTTTGAGCAACTGAGTCAAAGGGGTGCTATTTCTCTGAGATGAGAAGACAGCAGGGAAGGTTCAGCTTAGGGGAGGAGGAGAGAATCTGGAGTTCCAGTGAGGCCATGAGAAGTTTGTTAGGCATCCAATGAAAATGCTGAGCAAGCAGTTAGATAGCAATCTGTTCTGAAAAGAGAAGTCTGTTCTGGAGGTTAAATCTGCACATAAAGGGGCAGCTGAAGCAATGATAATAGAGAGGAAAGGACAGGCATGCATATCTTGTGAATTATTTTAAGGACAACAGTTTTAGTATTTCAACACATGTAGTGATTATTCTTGGTTTCTCACAAATAGTCTTTAACTTGTACTAGGTTTTTTAGTTTATTTGATTTCAGGTTTTTTATTTTTAGGATTAGCTGTTTAAAAACCTTATTAAATGGCTTTTTGCAACTAGAAACATAATCACAATTTGTTGGTGTAATGACTTATAATAATAGATCTCTTAATATTGAACCATCCTTGCATTGATAAAAGAAATCCTGGCCGGGTACGGTGGCTCACACTTGTAATCCCAGCACTTTGGGATACCAAGGCAGGTGGATCACCTGAGGTCAGGAGCTCAAGGCCAGCCTGACCAACAAGGTGAAACCCTGTCCCTACTAAAAATACAAAAATCAGCCAGGCTTGGTGGAAGGCACTTCTAGTCCCAGCTACTCGGGGAGCTGAGACAGGAGAAATGCTTGAACCCGGGAGGCAGAGTTTGCAGTGGGCTGAGATCACGCTACTGCACTCTAGCCAGGGCGATCTAGTGAGACTCCATCTCAAAAAAAAAAAAGAAGAAGAAATCCTATTTGCTTCTGATATATTATTCTTCTACTGTATTGCCAGAACTGATTTATCATTCAGTACTCTCTTTGGAATGTATATGCATATATTCATATGTAAAATTGGCTTATAGTTTCCTTTTTAATTTTTTTTAAGATTTTGGCATTATGTTTGTACTAGCCTTATAAAACAAATTCTGTTACCCATAAGAGTTTCCTTAATATAGAAATTATTTATTATTTAAAACTGAGGTTTATCTCTTGGGCAAAACCATCTAAGTTTGGTGCCTTTTTGGATGTTTTCAATTTATCCTATGTTATTAGTCTTTTCAAATTTTCTGTATTCTTGGATAAAATTTAATAATGAATATTTTTCAAACCGCCTTTGCAAAATTATGACTGAGAAAATTATGACAGTGAAAGAAATCAGACCTAACTGACTCCACATTGTTTCTAACCTTTAAGTTGTCCTTATGCATTCCTGGGCATAGACCAGACTTACTTTGGGAAGGAATGTAGTTCATGGTTTGACTCGGAAACAAAATTGATAACAGCTCTTTCCAAAAAAGACTCCCTTCTTTCCTGGGGACCAGTCTGCCTTTGCAGGACTAACAAATTAGCTACAAGATTAGAAATTACAGTTTAGAGGTCATGCAACCTCTGGCTTCAAGAGTCTGAACCTCCCCAAATTGCTCGTGAGGGTAACATCACTATTGTAAAACCTAAGATCATTGCTTGAGATATTTTGTAGACCCCGCACTGGATGGATCAGCTGACACCACCCAGACCAGTAATCTGCCTCAACCAGTTCTGTCATTGCACCCAGGAACAGAAGACATTAAGAAAACTTCACTCTGACCTCCTATGATTCTATTTCCAAACTGTCCAGTTAGTACTCCCCACTTCCTGAGTCCCCACCTGCCAAATTATCTTTAAAAACTCTGATCCCTGAATGTTCTGGGAAATTGATTTGAGTAATAATAAAATTCTGGTCTCCCACATAGCTGGCTCTGCATGAATTGTTCTTTTTCCACTGCAATTCCCCTGTCTTGATAAATCAGCTCTGTCTAGGCAGCAGGCAAGGTGAACCCATTGGTCCACAGATTACATTTTGATAGAAAATTGCTAATTTTCTTCACATTTTAAAATGTATTTCTTTGAAGCTAATTGCAATGTTCTCTTACACTTTAAAATATTGTTGTATATTTTGGGTATAGTCCCTTCCTAATATCTACTACCCCACACCCCCCCAAACACACACATGCATGCATGAACTCATGCACACAGACACAGAGCAGGAGCCTTCTATCTTACCTGTCCTTTTGAAGACTAGCTTTTAGTTATATTGATCCTTTACATTATCTTTTTCTATTTCATAAACTTTAAGTCCTTCCTGTTTATTTTGAAGTCTTATTCTAGTTTCCTGTGTTGAATGAAAACAGGTATTTATTTTCAATCTTCTTTTGTTATGAAGGCATCTAAGAACAATGTCTTTTCCTCTCAATATACTTTCAGCTGTATTCCATATGTTCTCCTTTCTGTCAATGTGTACATACTTATAATGGCTATCTTATTTTCTCTTT